GGCCCATCCTGTGTGTTATAAAGAACAAATGATATGATATACATGAAGGTACTTAAGAAAACAATCAACTTTCATACAAATGAAGAGTATTGTTATTATCATGGAAAGAGTGAACTAGATTCCAGGTCCTATTCTACTTCTGCCCATTTTGAGATGATGGGCAAATCATTGATTCCTCCATGTCTATTTCATAATCTGTAGAATGGGGATGTTAATGACTTCTCTACCTCACAGGGTTGAGAATCAAATGAGATCATGGATCTACTCACTCGTAGCAATATCCCATAATCTTAAATAGTATTTCTTGTACTCAGAATCTCTTGCAAAAGTTAACTAAAGATTGGCTGAACAAGCAATCCTATCTGACCAACACTTGTAACTATCATCTATCCATTAAAATGTTTATTTTGATAAATACATCTTATTAAAAAACATCAAAACAGTGGCAAGCTATTTTTATTTTTATTTAAGATATTTACTTCCTAGGACTACAGTCCAGAAGGGACTCTAGAATTTATTTAGTATGAAACCTTAATTTTTGTGAGATGAAGAAACTGAGGTCCACAGATGTAAAATTATTTGACCAAAGTCACACAAACAATAAGTGGCACAGCCCAGATTTGAATCTAGTTCTTTGGATTCCAAGTTCAAGGCTTTTTCCATTATATCATACTTCAAGTGAGTAGAGAATAGACTTCCTTTCCTGAGTCCAAGTGCCACCTAGCTGTATGATCCTGTGCAAGTCACTTAACCCTGTTTGACTCAATTTTCTCATCTGTAAAATGAGCTGGAGAAGGAAATAGCAAACTACTCCTGAATCTTTGCCAAGAAAACCTTAAATGGGGGTCACGATGAGTTGGGCACAATTGAAATGACCAGTAACGGACACATTACTTTCTTAATTTGGGCTTCAGAATTATATCTATAAAATGGTAAGCAACATAGTCTGGTGAAAAGAGCCACAGATTTTGGGCCAGGGGATCTGGGTTTGAATTCTGGATCTTTTAATATTGTGTGACTTTGGATAAGGTATTTGACCTTAATATTTCTGGGCTTCATTTTCCTAATCTGAAAAACAATGAGGTTAGACTAGGCAATCTTTAAGGTCCCTTCCAGCTTTAGTTCCTATGAAGTCTATGGATGATAATGTTTATACTTCCCTACTTAACAGGATTGGGTGTAAGACTCAAATGAGACTGCATTTGAAAGCACTTTATAAACCTTAGAGCATTATATGTGTCAACTATGACTTTTCCTCTGCAAAAGTTCTACTTGGATGCCTTTATCATATCATGAAGGTGACTCTGGGTTCTTAAAGGCTCCATTATGCTCTACCATCTTGGAAAGGCTTTGTGTAGTTCCTGTAACTCTCTTTTTTTTGAGGAACCACAGTAGAGAGATTTACACCAATAGGATGGCCACTTGGTGATGAATTCTATGGCCATGACAAGGAAATAAAAATGTAAAATTATTCTCAGTCCTACACAGTTCCCTTCTACATTTGTTGTGACTGTGACAGCCAAACAAGCTATTGATGCCGTCATAGATGAAGGGCCATCCTTGGAACCAGGAGACCCCTAGGTTCAATTCCTACCTCTGACACATACTAGCTGTATGACTATGAGTAATTTACTTAATCTGTGAGGGCCCTAGACAAATCTCTCAAATGATAAGTTATAGATGAGTTGCCAGCCTACATAGTGAAGGTAGTTGTTTCACAGGGAATTTCCTAAACTAATGAAATCACAATGAAATTAAAAAAATAAAAAACAATGTCCCCCCATGGGACATTAATAAAAGAACAGAGATGAATAGATATTGCCATTTTCTAAGGAAATTTAACTCTTCTAAATCCATCACTACTAGAAGGGGGCTAGAAGAACCTAGAGACTGTCTCTGTCTCCTTGCCAAGCACAGATAGATATAAGCCAAAGATAACATCATTTTATAATAAAAAGTTATTTGCAAAACTTTCCAGAGAAGGATAGTGGAAGATTATGACTGTTATTGCCTTATAAAGCATGAAGAAACAATGGAAGAAAAAATTAAGTTTACAGAAAGCTTGTTGGGAGAGACCCAGTTAAGTCAGATCATCCCAGGAGTTTTAAAGGATAAAAGTGGAAGGACAATGAGCAGATGAAAAATGGACAAACAAAAGGCATTAATAAGAAAATATCTCTCAAGGCTTTTATAATACATTATTTTCTCTACCAATAACAACAGAGCAACCACATTTGGACATACAGTGCCAGATGTGCTTTATGAAGAAGAAATGGTATTTAGGGAAACAAGGATGGGAAGAGCAACTAAACCAGGCCAATTATACACTAAAGAATATGGCAAGGAGCAACACAATTTCAGAGATTATGAAGATATATGAAAAAGAGAGGATGTGAAACATTTGGAAAAAAACAGCAGTGATTTATCATGATCTAAAAAAGGGTGACTGAAAAAATATAGCTACCAACCCATACTCCTAGATTCTTAACTATACGAAATCTTCATGAAAAAACCTACATACACACCAAAGTATGCAAAAGGCTTTCACAAAGGATATTTTACAGAAGCCTACAGCTTTAATCACAAAACTAAAAGGTGCAGAGAACTTAAGAACCATTTGCTTATTGTTTATTGACTACAGAAAGACATGTGATTTGGTAGGGCAAAATATTATTTTATGAACTGACACAGACTGAAGTAAAACCAAAAAATGTGCACAATGACCACAACATAAATGGAAAGAACAATGAAATGAAATTGAATGTTAATGGCCGTGTCTGTTTACCTCTCCCATTCCCCATGAAGAGTTCAGAAAAGGAAACTTTCTCTCTTTATTGTGGAGGAGAGGCCTGATGGATGCAGAATGCTGTAAATATTATATCAATATGTTGGGGTGTTTTGCTGAACTTTTTTTTTCCTTTTAAAACCTTTGTTACAAAGGAAGGCTTGATGGGGGGAAGGTATATATTTGGAAATGAATATGACATAAAAACAAAAGGCATTAATAAGAAAGCTGTTCTTTCACAAATACCTCAAAATCATATAACATTCCTTGAAAGATATAACTATTTGACAACTCTGATTATTATCATGTGAGGCATAAAACTGGGAGGAATATGCTCACCAAAGTCATTTGCCATCCCGAAGTATATCCAGGAGAGTCTAAAAGGAAGACTCCTTTAGAGGGGTTCTCCACAGCCTCCTATTTGTGGATGACTTTATACTGATTACATCAAGTTTTGGAATACTATAGAGTATTTAAAATAAGATCCAGGGTCATGTAAAAGTGTTCAAACTACACAGGAAAAAACAAGTGGATGAAGAATGTCTTTGTCTAATTTGTAAGTTGAATGGTCAGCACATAGACTTCTTTCATCAACATAAAGATTCTGGAAAGGAAATTTTGTTGTTCACTCATTTCCAACTCATAGTGACCTCCATTTGGGGTCTTCTTGGCAAAGATAATGGAGTGATTTGCCATTTCCTTCTCGAGCTCATTTTACAGATGAGAAACTGAGGCAAACAGGGTTAAGTGATCTGCTCAGGGTCACACAGCTAGTAAGTGTCTGAGGCCAGATTTGAATGCAGGAAGATGAGTCTTCCTGACTCTAGGACCAGTACTCTATAGCTGCCCAGGAAAGACAACGGATAGGACCAAAAGTGAAGAGTAGGAAGTAGTTTTAAAATCCTAAGTTTCTACTTGGAAAAAAAAAGGCTGTATTTTAATAAGATATTCTTCTGATGATGATATATGAATATATGATATATTGTATTTTAAGTCTCAGAAAAACTAAAATTCCAGAGAAATGGCAATAGGGATAAATGGTGGGTGTAAAGAGCCTGGAGCATATTACCATAAAAAAACTATGTACCAGAAGCTCATAAACGCTATCATTGAGGAAAAGTAGGATTGGAAGTGGAAGGTGGGGTGATCAAGTAGTGGGAATGTTGGATAACAAAGGGACAGCCCATATGTTCCAAGACATAGTATCTTTGCAAGGTCAAGGGAGCTAGAGAGAGGACTTCAGTGGGTTCTCCTGTGGAGGAGAACGGGGACAAGAGTGTGGAAGGTTTGTGATTTGCACCCGTGGTAGGATTACCTACACTGATGCATCTTTGTCTGAAATACAAGCAGAGGAACCTAAACAGCGCCTATGCACACTCTGGACACTAGTCAAAGTGGGGTTGGTTGAATCAAGGGCCAGTGTTAGGATTCTAGTCAGGTCAGGGTCAGGATTTAGGTCGGATCTGGAACTGGAAGTCAGGGTGATTGGGTCTTGATCCCAGACGGAACAGATGTCAGAGGTCTCAGTCCGAAGAAACGTTCAAGTCAGAGGTGAAGTCCATGTTTGGGACACAGCATACAACAGTCAGAGCCAAAGTCAGGGTTGAGGGTCAAGACCCAACGTTGGCCCGTTAGTCAAGCCCGAGGAAGTCAGGCTCAGACCCGCTGGAAGACAGCCAAGAAGCATGGCAAGGCCCCCCGGGGGTCCAGTCTGGCCCGGACCCTACAATGCCCTTCACTTCACCTTGCCAGCAGCCCAGAGCTGGTTCCCCTCTGCCACAGACACACGGGGCCCCTCCTGTCCCCGCCCCCGCGTCCCTCCCAGGCCCCGGGGTCGCCCCGCCCGGCCGCCCCCTCACCGGGCCGGCACTGCAGCCGCAGGAACCTCCATCCTGTCCGACGGAGGAACCCAGCCACCGCCGCCGCCATCTTGAAAGTGGGCACGGCCCCGCGAGGAGTCTCCACGTGACACCACCCGATGCGTGCGTGTGTGCGCGCGCGCGTGAGGGGCTGGGGGGGAGGTGGGGCGGAGAATGGAGGACGCCCAAGGGCGCAGAGATCTCGCCTCTCCTCCGACGTCGAAGCGCGTGTGCGCACGCGGGCTCCGTTTCCCTTTTCCCTCCCCTCCCCTCCCCTCTGCTCCCTTCCCTCCCCGCCCCGCCCCGTCTCTCCCCCAATCTTTGAGTCTCCTCTGAGTCCCAGCGAAGTCAGTCATTCTCGCGAGAGTCCGGAGGCGCTGAGCCGGCTGCTGAAGAGCGGGTGCTGGTGGTGGCTGCCGAGTGTGTGGGCGCAGTGGGTGAGCGTTGGCTGTGCCTCTGTCCGCCTGCTCCGCTTCCTCTTGTCCAATTGCGTTACCGCACTTTGGAACCCCAGTTCCTTCTTGGAAGAACTCTGGTATCTCCTATCGTTCCCTCTCCCCATACCAGTGTCTTCATCTTCCCTTCACTCCCCCCCTTCTCCCTTCTCTTCCCCCTTCCCCCCTCTCCCTCCCCTTTTTCGTTTCCCCCCCTTTCTCTCCCTCCCCTTGCTCCTCCCCTCTTGTCCTCCCCGCCTGCTCCCCCGCCCCTCTTTCCCATCTCTCTTTTCCTCCTCCCCCTTCTTCCCTCTTCTCCTCCCCTCATCTCGTCCCCTTCTCCCCTCTTTCCTTCCCCTTTCCCCTCTTCTTCCCTTGGCCTCCCCTCCCCCTTCTTCTCTCGTTCCTTCCCTGGTTCCTGATCTTGCATGACCTTAGAGAAGTCATTGGACTCCTGCGGACCCCAGTGCCCTTACCTGTAAAAGGAGGCGGCTGGATTCTTGCATCCTCCGAGGTCCGTCCCAGCTCCATGAGTGTATGAATCAGGCCCCGTGCCCGGGGAGCTTAGATTGGGTTGGGGGGGGAGGCCACACAGCATCTTGGCTGGGGTGAGAGCCCTAACCATTGGACGGATCAGTCAGGGGGGCCTCCCGAGGGTGGTAGCACCTGAGCTGAGCCTTGAAGGAAGCCAGGGACTCTCTGAGTCTGGGGGGAGAGCATTCCGAGCCTGTACAAAGGCTGGGAGGTGGAATTATTCTGTATGGGGGAACAGTAAGTAGGCCAGTTTGGCCGGGATATCTAGTTTAGGAGACAAGTGATGTGTTATCAGGAAAGGTAGGTTGGAGTCATATTGTAAAGAGCTTTATTTATAGAGCAAAGGAATTTCTCTTTCCTAGACAGTTACATCATGGTGTGCCTGTGACTAATAGAATCCAACTTTACACACCTAATATTAAATCTGAGTAAGTTATACATGGAGGTTGGTCAGAGCTGAGTTCCATAGTCACCACAGGCTAATCCGGCCTCAGACACAACACTTATTAGCTGTGTGACCCTGGGCAAGTCACTTAACCCCCATTGCCCAACCAAAAAAAAAAACAAAACCAAAACATATTCACCACAGGCTAGGGATAAAGACAATCTGCTGAGCATCTGTTGAGGCCCAGCAGCATACTCCTTCACCACCTACAAAAGGTGAATTAATGTAGTGTTTGAATTATGGACACATCTGCTCACATAACTTGACTTTCCCTGGGATGAGTTTGTTTATGCCTAAGGGTAATTTCCTCTAGGAAAACTAGAACCTCTTCCCCTCTGCCCTCCAGATCTCAGTGAAACAATTGTTCTATGCTTTTTGGTTATTTAGTTTGAAGAGTTGTATGGTATTTTTATGGATGGAGGCAATAACAAATCTTCCCATTGTCAGACCAGAAAAAAATAGCAATCTGAGAGAACAGTATTCTTGAATTATTTGTCTCTCGTCAAGATCAGGCATCATCACAGTCAGTAACTGATGTTTGAAGTTAGAGGGCTCAAATTGTATCCTCACTGTCACATGAGAAGACTAGATGGAAACTATGCCGTATGGATATTATTACCAAAACTTTTTACTCACATCATCAAGCTAGTCCTGAATTTGCTTAATTACTTCTGGAAGTAGAGATTTTGATCTTCATTTTTCTGAGTTTTCTCTTTACCTGTTGATCCATTTTCTCTAATTACTTATTTCTGTCTTGTACCATTTTAAAAAATCTTGCTTCTGAAGTGTAACTGCCGTTATCTTCAGAATTTTTTACCATCTGTTTTACAGAATTAGGCCTTAGGTTGAAATTGAAAACCTTCAACTTTTACCTTTGTTTCTTGATATTGTCACTGACAAGAGGGGCCTAATGGTTTAAGTTTTGTTGTTCACAAGAAAGTAAACATATACCAGGGAGCACATGTCTTGAGATGACACCAACAGTCTTCAGAAGTGATTTAGATAGTCTGAGTTGGAGGAGAGGTATCTTAACATTCAAGGTCAGTAACATAACTGTGACTTTGAATTTCTATTTCACCTCTTATAATTACTAAGCTAGTTGGAGTCAAAGCTCCTAAGAAAGCTTATTTGGTTACTTTTTTCCCCCATTATTGCCGGAGTGGGTTTTTTTTGTGTTTTTTGGACTGATTCATCAAACTGAAAACATTTTGATTGAAGTTATCATGATTTCATATTTGAACTTTTAAACATTTCCTGCAGTGTCTCCTCTGTTACCAAGAAAGCTGAGCCTGTGCCCTTCTTTTCTAGGGCTGATATTTAACAAGCATTTTATTGCTATCTTCTTGCTATTAGACATTAATTTGGGAGATAGGAACACAAAGCATTTTTAATATCTTCTAAATTAGTGACCTGTTCCCATTGGAACACTGAGATATCATAAAGTGCAGATCTAATGCTCTCTGATCCTAGCAGTGGAAAAGGAAGCTTCAAAGCCAGCTCTATTCTCCTCCCCAGGGAGGCCTCCCGCTAGCAAAGCTGGATATTAAGAACAAAGATTTTATGTGCCTGTTTGAAGTAGAGGCAAGCAAACTGAACTGAGAAAGGATGAGCAATGGTACTCTTAGAATTTTCTGCTTCTGTGATGCCATGCTGAGAAAGACCTGACATTTTGTCTCTGCCTAAAAATTAAGATACAGTATATAAAACAGAATTGAGCAAACTTCCTAGATCTCCTAGTTTCTTTTATGAAAGTTGTATTAGGATTAGTTGGTAAAAATACTCTGTATGTTATCAGTCAAAGGGCAGTTTTTAACTAGGAGAAAAAAAGTCTGTTTTCTGTTTTACTGAACAGCTTTTCCCATTGTCCCTGAAAGCAAAGAAGCATTTCTAGTATTCCTGAAGAAATCAGTATTTATTTCTGGCAATTTACTGCTTTACCCTTTACGCTCTTTTCATCTCACATAGCAATCCAGTGTTTCTAAGCTCTTGACTGATTGGCTTTTATGTATGAAACAATGATTCTGAGTCTTATTAGCAGCCAAATTCCTTTGTTAGTAAATTCTATTTATTCTTGGTCAGGAACATGTGGCTTAAAATTACAGTTCTTGAATGTGCTCTTTTAGGAATTAAAAAAATTAGATTAATGGCCAAGAATATCCTTTTGTCACATATGCTTTAGTGAGTGGGGAGTTTTTAAAATGTGGGTACGTAGGTTTTTTGGGGGGAGTTCCTACTATATTAATACCTCCTGTTTGTTTAGTGCTTTGCAAAATCCTCACAATCCTGTGGGATAGTAGTGTAAGTACTGTTATCCCCATTTTGTAGATGAAGTTTAGTGACTAGGGATCATAGGGTCATAAATTTAGAGCAAGAAGGTACCTTAAAGGCCATTATGTCCAACCCCGAGAGAAGTGAAGTGACTTGGCCAGGATCACATAGCTAGTAAGTGGCAGAATTTGAATATAGGTATTCCTGATTCCAAGTCTAGTGCGCTACCCATTCCGTCAAACTGATTCACAGAGCTGGCAGATGGTACTGGTGTAGGAACTTGGATGGCTTTTCAACCATTGTTGTTTCTAACCCACTATCAGGAGAGTAGATGCATTTGAGGTGTATTTCCAGTAGTGGTCATTTTGTGCTGATTAATCCATGCATTTATTTTGCCTTTAACACTCCCAGCCCAGAGGTTCTTAACTTGGGGTCTGTGAACTTGGCTTTTTTGTTTTTAACATTTTGATAACTATATTTGGATGTAATTGATTTTTTTTTTATAATCTTAAGTGTTAACACATTTAAAATGTTCTGAGAAGGGGTCCATAGGCCTCACTAGACTGCCAAAGACGTCCATGACCCTTGTGGCCAATGACATCTGTAAGTAAGGAAACTAGCTAAGGTTAGTAGTATATTTGTGAAGAGAGACAGTGTTTGTTCAATGAAAAGAGCTATATAGACCTGGTGTCAGAAGCCCTGGGTTCAAGCCCTGCTACTTATTAGTTATCTAATGGGAAACTTCTTAGCCTCTTTGAGCTTTTTTCCCCTCACTTGTACGGTTTTCTTCAGAGGGTTGTTGTGAGAAATTTTTTTAACTTGTAAAATATGCTACAAATGAATTGCCATTGTTTTTAATAATATCTGGCCCTTATGTAGGTCAAATCCATTACCTATCCTAATAGTACCTTGCTCTGACCAACTTGACTTTTCTTTCCTCATTCCCAAGCAAGTCATCACTTTCCTATTTCTAATAGAGTAGTAATTCACTTGCCTGTCCATTTGACCAAGATTATGAACTCTTGTCAGTCTGTTAGTATTTAGTATTCATACAGCTTGCATCATGTGCTTAGTATGTAGAATCCTAGATGATGGTAGGAGATATAAAGAATTTGATATGGCCAGCAACCTGGTTGACTAAGACAATAGATAGTTATCATATAAGGAGATTTTAGATTATTATTAACCCCTGAACTGTATTCCAAAGAATAGCTAAAAAAAGTCATAGTCATTACTTATTTCCTGATGATGACAAGCATTGATGAGACACTTTCAGCTGAAGTGAATTTTTCAAATGTATTTTAAATGTCAGTCTACCATTCCAGTATAGGTGTTTATTACTTGGAAGAAAAAAGGCTAACGGCTACCTTCTTTCCAGAAGGCACAGAAAGTTTAGAGGGTTAAGTGTTTTGAGAGATTATAGAGGAAAGAATGTTTTCTTCTTCATGGATCCTTGACCAGAATCATAGGATCATAGATCTAGAACTCAATGGAGGAAGAAATCCAGGAAGCAGATGTTTATTAAGCGCTTATCATGCCAGGCACTGTGCTAAGCCCCGAGTATACAAGTTCAAGCAAAAGAAAAGACAGTTCCTGCCCTCAAGGAGCTTACTTGGCCTGAGCTCCTTCACAAAATGAAGGCTCCCAGAAGAACTCACCGATGGAAGGGGGGCAGGCCTCCCAGAAGGATATTCCAGGGTGAGCAGGCAGCAAATGTAGTGTGGATTCCAGGCTAAGGAAGCCCCAGGTGCTGAGATTTCTTCAATGAGATGGTAATAGAGGCATGATTTTGAAGTCCATAAAGTCTGGAACAGGGCCAAGAGGACCTGAAGAGTTTATCTAGTCTGACTTCCTTGTTTTACAGATGAGGAAGCTGAGGCCCAAAGAGTTTGTGATTTACCCAGCATCATACAGACAGTAACTGTTACTCCCAAATTCAATGCTTTTTACACAGAACCAACCAGAAAGGTACAGTGCTAGACTTTGCTCCTTTTCTTCCCCGTGTTTCTTTGTGGACTACCTAAATCCTCTTGAACTTTATCTCTACTTCTTATTTTTAGTCCCTGGCTTTCAGAAGTTTGGTGGCATTATTTGAAAAAGAGAACACTGGAATAGCTAAGTGAACATCCCCCAACTTCATTCTTTTTTAATATATTCTCTATACTCACACAACATCTCAAGGGACAGTAGAAGTTTGACTTTCATGCAAAATAACTTTTTGAACCCTACAAAACTAGGTAAAACTGAATTTTTGGCATTTATTTTGGTGAAAGGGAAATACTATTTTACTAAATATTTGACCTTAAAAAATTAAACTCATGGTCAAGGGAAGTCTGCCAATTTCCCTTCCTTGCTGAGTCACTGATGACTTCTACTCAGTATACAGTAACATTTGTGTTTTATGTTCTATGCTTTGGCTAGGTTATGATCTGATCCAAAAGGGAATTAATCTTCTGCCTTTACCTCCTCATATCAATCTAATTGGGTTTTTGTTTTGTCTTTTTTTTTTGGCTTTTCATCTTCTAAGAAGGCCAGGGATTTTCCTAAAAGAAGTTAGTGCTTAGTTTAGGAATTTGGGATTATGGAAATTTGAAATAATAGGATTATTTATTTAGGGCCTCTCATCAGCAATATGTTTTTCTAACATCAGCATCCCTGGGTGGCTGGTCTAGACTATGCCAAAATGCTAACTTGTGTTTATTACACTTCTTGGGTTAAGCTGGGTCCGGGCTCTTTGTACATCTGCTTAGCATTGATTCATCCTTTGGCTATTAGTTTTCAGACTGGTGACATTGCGGCAATGGCAGAATATGGAATCTCAACCGGGCAGCGTGTGGTGGTGATCTGGGATAGGTCATCTCCAGTGGAGGCTCTGAAAAGTCTGGTGGATAAACTACAGGAACTTGCTGGTGATGAGAGTCACGTGTCTGTGGAAAACATCAATCAACTGTTACAATGTAAGAACTCGCCTTTGGCTCTTCTTTAGAGGAGCAGAAGGGTGTGGATGGATGGGGTGAGCTTTCTGACCTCATTTGGAGATCAGAAGATACTGGAGAGGTTTGCCATTTCCTTCTCTGACTCATTTTTTCAGATGAGGAAACTGAAGTAAACAGGGTTTGAGTTGGGATTTGAACTCTGGAAAATGAGTCTTACTGACTTCAGGCCCAACTCTTATTTGCTCTGTCTAGCTATCTGATAGTCTGTACTTCTCTCTTATCTTGATCTCTGGGTTTCTGCTCTGACTGACAAAAATGTTAGATGATCCTGTTCTTTTTCTGTTGAGAGATGATGGACAGAAGAGTATATGTACTCACAAAAGTACGTCTTTATCTTACAACTGACTCTATAATAGAATAGGAAAAAAGCTCACTTAACTGTACTGTTTCTAATTTATACCTGTCCCTTGGCATAGAGGTGGATCTGGGTGCATTGGGGAGAATAATAGCAGGCGGAACATGTCTGGAAGAGAGAAGAGGGTAACAGCTACAGAGAATAATAGGGTGGTTGCACCTGTAAGGCCCATTCGACCACCATTAAACTGGGGGAGATAAATGTCTCTCCTCCTATCTGGGGTCAATGGCATTTCTACTCCTGGCATGCGGAGGAGGGTGCTTCTGCTGGGCTCAGGCGTTCTGAGCGATGCTTGTTATGGTCTTCATTTTGTCTTCTCAGCTGCTCACAAAGAATCCAGCTTCGATGTTGTTCTGTCGGGTCTGGTTCCAGGAAGTACAACACTGCATAGCACTGAGATTTTGGCAGAAATTGCTAGGATCCTTCGACCAGGTGGGCAAGTCCTTCTGAAAGAGCCAGTGGAGACAGCCTCAGGTAAAGAAACTATGTCCCTCTTCCTTTAATCTTCACTTGAAGCACTAAGCCAGGGTTTACAAGTTGAGCTTAAAGTATCTGCTGCCAATCTTGAGATGGTATGGAACTGTGGACCTTGAGATGAGTTCTGAAAGCACTTTGAAAATTTAAAAGCATTAGACAAACATAAAGTACTATTTTAATTTTTGTCCCATTCTGCATAGGATATGGCTTTTAATGATCCTCCTGTAAATCTATTGTGATTATTCTTTTTCTTTTTGATAGTTCATGAAGGCAAAGTGAAGACAGCAGCTAAGTTATGCTCAACCCTGACACTCTCTGGGCTTGTGGAAGTGAAGGAGGTATGTTTACAAATGAGCTGCAACTCAGTTTACGGAAGCATGGTATAGAAGGAATCTGTGTCTTTGAACTCATCCTTATGCCTCTGTACTGTTTCTGCCCCAGTAACAAAAAGTCCCTGAAGTGTGTCACCAGAATGTCTGTTCTTTAAAAGTGATGTTTCCTATTCCTTTTTGTTAGATTTCTCTTTGGGATTACATGATTAGCACTGTACCTTTAAAAACTGGATGCAGTCCTGACCTTGATTTCTGACTAGGTCACTGAGTTCCTCTATGATAGAGGTCTTTGAGGTTTGTTGTTGTTGTTGTTGGGGTTTTTTATGCCTGCCTTTTTTTCCCCCTTTACAATGGTAATGCTGTTTTCTGCCTACGTGAGAAAAAGAAATAACAAGAAAAGAGGTAATATTTGCAAAGCACTCTAAATTTTGTAAAGGTGGACATAAACAGAGAGAAAAGTTGAACTCTAATCATGACCCTGATCAGATAAAAATTAAGTATGAAGCATAACTAGGTACTCTTTGTAGAGGTTACATAGTTAATATCTGTATATTCTTTGGACCTTAGATATGGTAAAAGATTATACTATAACATTATAGCATGAGTGGATTTTGTTTTCAACATAGACTAAACCTTTTTTGTGCCTTGAATTTCAGTTGCAGAAGGAGTCCTTAACCCCAGAGGAGGTACAGTCAGTACAGGAGCACCTGGGTTACCAAAGTGATAGCTTGGTCTCTATTCAAGTCACAGGCAAAAAACCAAACTTTGAAGTAGGCTCTTCTACCCAGCTTAAGCTTTCCTTTCCCAAGAAGAATGCTGTGTCAGGTAAGGGTAATCCATGATTACATCAATCTAGTACCTTTTAATTCCACACTGGGCCAAGTGGAGTATGTTAAAGACTAAACTAGAAGTCTGAATGGAGAGGTAAAGCTTCCAGTAAATTAACCTTTCCAACACTTAGAAAGGTTTCATTTTTTAATGAAAAGAGGCCTGATAATCTACTAGAATAGTGTGTTTATTCAGTTTCTTTGTGTTCTTTACATAGGCTAAGAAAGTTAATTTTCCCTGCACAAGATTTCCCTTAAGATTATGTCACTTGTAAGATTATATTAATTTGCCCAGGTGTACTCAGAAAATGTTTCCTTATCTTGCCCTCTCCCATCATTACTGTTCTTACAGTGTTAACAAAGAAAACTGGCTAAATTAAAATGTGCACGTAAGTTTTCAGATACATGATGCTGTCTTCACTTATTATTATTCTGATTTCCCCAACATCCTCTAGTAATCAATCCTTTGGAAACCTTTGTGTTCCAGGTCACAAAATGAGCAAGAGCAGTGTAAACAAACAAGCTGTCCTGTTTGAAGGATTTGATCATGCAGTTGTGCTTGGGCTGATTTGGGGATGTGCCTGAACCAACCTATTTGAAAATCTGCCCCAGAATGAGCTTGTTTCACTCAGCAGCTCCTGATTGTTAATTTTGTGGCCTGCCCAAAGGCAGCCTCCTCTGATAGATTCTGAATCCAAAGCCCTGAGATCTGTTTCCAGCTCTGCCATTGACTTGTCATGCATGCTTTATTTTGGGGGCAGATCTTGGGGGCTTATTGGTCCATGTTTTTCCATCTGTAAAAAGGGGATGAAGCCTCCCTCGCTAACATTGAATGGTATGATGCCAAGTTAGTTGGTGTCTATAGTCATTATATCTCTACGAAGAAAGAACTTTTTAGTGTCACATAGCTGTATCTGGCTTCTCTTAATATTTCTTTTCTTGGCTGATTTTAGAGAAACCTGCCGTGGATCCTAATGCTGCCAAGCTGTGGACACTTTCAGCCAGTGACATGAATGATGATGGCATGGTGAGTGGGGCCCAACACTGAACCAAGTAGTAGTTTGATTTACCTCCAGCAGACTTTTCAGGGTCTCCATGCTGGGTGTATACAGTCATATATTAGAACCATGCCTGCTAGTCGTGTTTGTCGTGCTTTTGGGTAGAGTTTCAGCAGTGAAGTTACCATCATTTTCACTTAGTTTCTACTTAAGAGATTTTCTTCCTGTTATTTGGTATAATAGACCCAAAATAAAATGAATGTATTCACTTACAAGCTTTTTGTCACTTGAAAAAAAATCATTTGGACTTATTTTTCAAGGGGAAAATGTCTGAATTATGGGGGAAAAGTTACTTTTTATCCCTTCATCCTCATTGAACACCCATTTTGTAACAAAACAGTTGACATTATCTACATCTGCCTGTGTATATGACATTCCACACCTAGAGAAATTCTTAAGTCTTAACTCTTCTCTAGCCATTTGATTTTTCTCATCCCTTTCTCATCATTCACTTGCTTCCCCCCTTCCCCACCATCCACATGATGGATGTTATATTGTATCTAGTCCATGGTATGTGCTAGGCTTTATGAAGTACTCTTTGTTATTTGGAGTGATTCATGTTAGCCACTTTGTGACATCCTTCCCTTGTTAACAGGAAGTGCATAATAATTTTAATGTTAAACTGAACTTAATATAAGTAGGAAGGTAAACTTAATACCCCCCACCTCTAAATACTTTAAATTGTATGTGAAAACAATAAGTATAAATAATTTTTGTATTATCTATGCTACTATTTCCCTCATTTGGTATGATTAAATGAGAGCTTCTTAACTGAGGTGGCTTCTTAGTCATTAGACTATTCTGAACACCTTCCAGGATCTCATTGATTCTGATGAACTCTTGGATCCAGAGGATTTGAAGAAGCCAGATCCAGCTTCCCTACGGGCTACTTCATGTGGAGAAGGGACAAAAAGGAAGGCCTGTAAAAATTGGTGAGTGTTAGAGAAGGTTCATTGCTTTCTTTCAAGGAATGTCTGATAAAGCAGAGAAGAACTTAACCTCTTGGAAGTAGCTCCATGTGGTATGGGTGGAGGAAAACAACATGTTGGGCTTTAAATCCACCTTAATTGGTTCCATTTGTTATGTCTCACTTCTCTGGTATTACCTAGAAGGTCACAGAGAAAGTAGTTCTGTTGGGACTAGCCTAGGTAAAGAATGGCTGGAAGGCTGATGAAAAGAGGGTCCTTGTACTCACTATAAACTGGTAGAAGCCATATTTCAGGATTTATGGGTTTATAGTTCTTAACAGTACATTATCTCTTGTTCAGCACGTGTGGCCTAGCAGAAGAACTGGAGCAGGAGAAAGTGAAGGAGCAGAAGAGATCCCAACCCAAGTCAGCCTGTGGAAATGTAAGTATTTTGGTAGATTTTAAAAATTCAGAAAGCTCCTGGGTTATATTTAGGCTTTATCCTAAAATTGTACATATACTATTCCTACCTATAAATAGCTTATGATCCAAATGATTACAAGTAAGACAAAGTGAAGCAGACCTATATTGGAGGTCTAACACCTACCTCTTAAGGGCATTAAGCATTCTCAGAGACCTTTTGCTGTTTTATGGTAGGAATTTCTCCTGCCTCTACCTTTTTTCTTTTCATTTTTACATATAGACTTAGTATTTCACATGTGTATTTTGTTGCTTATTTTCATTTTCTTATTTAAATTCTTAACTTTGAATCTGCCTTAACTTTCTAGAAACTATCAGTTCCTGAACTTATTGGTTGTCATGGCATTGGATATTCCTGACTTATCACAGGAGACTGAAATTTTAGTATTTGCAGCCTTGCTGAGCATGAAATCTTAGCCAGCTGTGTTACTTCAGGGCCACTGGGTGGGGAGAAAACAACAAGATCAGTCAGGGATTGCTTCTTCTTGGTCTTTGAGTTTGTGTTTCTTTAATTAGTGGACATCTTCAACTCCTACTTCTCTTTCTCTCAACAGTGTTATTTGGGTGATGCCTTCCGCTGTGCCAGCTGCCCCTACCTTGGAATGCCAGCCTTTAAACCTGGGGAGAAAATCCTCTTGAGTGAAAAAAATCTTCATGATGCCTAAAAGGCAAAATCACTGGGACTTGTGGGGGTTATTCCATTCCAAAAACTGATTCCAGCATTCATTTCAGCAACCTTTCAAGCCCTACCTTGTCTCATGCCTCCCTGTTTCTGCCTACACTCTGTGTTAGGATCCTAGATGGGGTTGGCTTGGTAGACACACAGAAAGTTGGGTATGTATGCTGCTATGAACCAAAGGACTGAGATATAATCAGCCAGATTAATTTCTGTTGGGCTATCTGATTCATCAGTGGGACTTAAACTGAAGGTACAGGGAATTTCCATCTAATTAATGCTGTCAGAAAGGAGAGGTACACCAGAGAAGTTACTCTCTTCGTATTAGCATTTGGTAACCTGATCACACTGTATTTGGGACCTGAGCCCAACCTCCCTGTCAACTTGGATCATATCACCCTTGAACATAGTTATCCTTCAGTATTAAGCTTCTGTGATGCATCGCCAGACCACAGATCTGCCTCCTAAATTTATCGATAACTGCTTGTTCTGTGAGCAGGCACATTTGTTCAGTTGGTAGTTACTGGAAAAGATAGCCAAGTGTTGTAAGAACTCCTTACAGTAACTAGCTTCCTATCCAACCGGATATCTGAAACCTTTTGAACCATTCATATTTTTGAATCAACCTCAGCCTCGCTGTTTCAGATCATTGTTAACTGTGATTTGGCCATTAGTGAATTAGCACTGGAGCTTTGTCCTTTTTCTATAATTGTGGATTTGTAGGTGTTAGAGTAACGTACTCTTATATGCCAGCTCCTGGGGTGGGGGTGGGGTGTGTGTAAGAGAAAGAACTGTACATATTAATATAGCGCACTTCTTTGTACCAGCTCTGGGGGTGGTATGTGTGTGTATGAAAGAAAGAACTGACCCTACAGAAAGCAAGAAAACACTTTCCCCTAAGTGAGGGAACTAAGCTCACTTCTGTTTTTAGATAGCACATTCATATTTATTATCATATCTGCTGGCACATCAGGGAGTCAGTGTCATAAACAAATAACCCTTCAGTTATGGAATGGAGTGGCCTTTCTTCATCTACCCAGAACTGTTCTGTGTGGGGTCTGGACATCAGGACTCAAACCAGCTATAATTTACTTGGTGCAAGATTCACTTTTGTCTTTCTTGCTATTGACCAGTAAGGACTAGGATCTGATTTTGCCAAATGTTGACAAATGTATGGATTTAGGGGAACTGGAATTTCAGCTGTGTGATAAATAAAGTGTTTTAAATAGTCTTAATCTTTGAAATGTGTGCTGATTGTCTTGCTTGCATTCCAGTATTCTGGTCCTTGCAAATAATTCTATGTTATGCTTTAAGGAAATGATAGTCCACCCCAGTCTCACTGGCCTTAGCATCAGCAGATAATTACGGAACAGAATACTACACATAACTTCACTGACTTCCAGTGTTTGAATTCCTTCTGATACGGTTGAGAGCAGAATGTTTTCCATTCCATTTGTGGTGAGGCACTATTATATAGTGCTCTTTGGACCCTGTTGAAGGCCACAACTTGCTGACCTGCTCTTTACTTTGCTCTCATTTGCTTCTTGTGTTACTGTCAATTAGAAATCAAACAGGTGTGATGCTGCTTTCTGCTGCTGTCGATAGCCTTAAGGGTATATCAAGAATAGCTGCCTTGTCACCCTGTAGGGTTCAGAAGAAAGCCAGCCAAATGTGGGACTGCTAGTGGGTCAGGGATACTAGAGAAAAGGCTTGCAAATGCAGGGCTAAATTTGGTTTGGGAGGTTGCTAATCTCTAGCACAGAGGAAGCATCTGAAGAAAAGTACGATGTTTATTAAACTTCAAAACCAGGGAGGCAATGGCATTAGGAGTGCCTTTTGAACTTCAGTTGAACCCTTTTTTTTTCTGATGCTGAACCTTAATCTCACCAACCATGTGATACTGGAAAGAAGGTATATTTTATATTTTCACCTCTCAATACTAATGCTGTTCTGCTTCCTCCCCCCAGCTCTCCCATGGAACTTAAAATTGGTTTCATTGAAGATAATCTTACATCAGCATTGGAAGAAACCTTGAGAGTTTAAGTCCAGTTGTATTGCAGATGAGGACTTATTGCGATGGATGTCATTTAGGATTGTAGGCAGATGCTAGATGGAAGTCTGATCTAGTCAATATAAAGAGAAACAGAATTTCACTGTTGAAAGTGGCCTCTATGGCAATCTAGTCCCATCCATACCTGAAAAAATAACCTCTACCACATGATCAACAAATGATTACCTTTGCTTCTAGTCCTTCAAAGAGGAGGAGCCCACTACCTCTTGGGGCAGTGGATTCCAACTTTGGAAAATTCTAGTTAGGAAATGTTTTCCTTACGTCAAGGCTAAATTTGCTTGTGCAATTTCTACTAGTTGCTCCTAGTTCTGCCCTGGGGTGCCATGTCAAATCTCTTCCATGTAACAGCCTTCAAATTTGTGAAGGAGCTATCGTGTCTCACCCCAACTTCCATATCTCTCCAGGCCAGACATCCCTCTTCCTTTAATCTTCATATGGCATTTCAGGCCTTTCGCCATTCTAGTCAACCTTCTTTAGACAATGGCCTTCCTAAAACGTAGCGCCCAGATCTCAATAAAATATCCCAGATGTTGACCAGCTACACTAGGACTCATTTCCTTATTGCTGGATTCTAGGCCTGGGTCCCATTAGCTGTTTTGCCCGCTGTATCACATTGTTTTCTCAAATTGAGTTTGCGTTCCACTAAAATCCCTCCATCTTTCTCAGAAAAACTGCTGCCTAGCAGTGCTTTTGCCCACAACGACAACCTGTGAAACTGATTCTTTGAAGCCAAGTATACGATTCCTATTCAGTTTCATCGTATTAGATTTGGCTTTGTTTTACCTCGTAAAGATCTTTTCAAATTCTGATGTATAATCCATCGTATTAACTTTCTAAACTTTGTATCATCTGAAAATTTGAGAAACATGCTGTCAATGCCTTTATCCAAGTCACTAATGAAAATGTGAGCAGAGGGCCAAGTAAAGGTTATTGAGGGCACCACTGAAGACTTTCAAAGTTGGAGTCAACTAATTGCACACTTGGCACTGAAAAGGACCTTGGAGATCTAGCCACTCACTTCAAAGAGAGAGCTGTGTCCCATAGAAATTAAGTGACTTACTTGGAAAGCTATGTCCTCTGGTGCCGAATCAAGTGCTCTTTTCACTGCATCGTGAATGAGACTGGAATTTGGAGAATCTATGAGCTAGTCTTCTTGACTCACAAGTCCTTTTTCCAGCTTCAGATTTTCCCTCTGTTAAAAAGAAATGGAGTGGTGGTGGTCATGAAGGAAGGAATATAATTTTACTTTCCATCTACCTCAAAGATTGATCCTGAAGCTTAATGTCTTTGTTACTAGATACTCTTCTGAATGAAGGGACTGGATAAACCTGAGGTTTAAGCAGTGGTGAAAAGGCAGTTTTGCTGGTCCAAGGTGTTCCTGAAAAAGTGGACTCTAATGAATTTTGATTTGTCCCAGTCCAAAATATGTGACCTTTCTTAGGTGGAAAAATAGAAATTCTCAACATTCTTACCCATGTTGATCTCATTTTCTCCTCTATAAAATGAGATGAATTAACATGTTGTGAGGAAATATTGATAATTTATTCACAAGGGGATCACGTCAGCACAAACACTGGTTACATGGGGTATTTATAGTCACCATCACCCTGCACGCTCAGGACAATGAATTATTAATGAATCCACTATTAATGCTCCCTTAGCACCCAAGCAATATGTTAATATCTATAAATTATTGAAATAAGAGTTATTACTAAGCCCTGAGGTTTATGAGTATTTACTTGTTTCCTATAATACTCCTCATAGGGTTGGGGTTTTTTGGGGTTTTTTGTTTTTTGCCACTGCTTTAATTGGTTTCTCTTCAGAGCAGCCGACAGGGTAGAATGGTAAACATCGAAGGTCTCAGAGGTAATTCCCTGGAGATACCTGTCCAGCAGGCAAGCTTGACTTCCTGATTGGCATTGCTTTTTTTTTTTTTTTGGTGAGGCAATCAGGGTTAAGTGACTTGCCCCAGGGTCACACAGCTAGTAAGTATCAAATGTCTAAAGCGGGATCTGAACTCAGGTCCTCCTGACTCCAGGGCCGGTACTCTAGCCACTACGTCAGGTAGCTGCCCCACACACATTTTTTTAGATAGGAAACTGAAGCCCTGAGAGTTAGGCAATTTGCCACAGGTCACACAGGTAGTAGGAGAAAGAGCCCAGATTCCAATTCAGGTTGTGTGACTCCTACTGCACCTTATATATACCTACTCTGAAACTTAGAGAGTTTCCTAGGGGATTGAGGTTAAGTGACTTACCCACATTCAATCTATGTCAGAAGTAGGACTTGACCCCAGGTCTTCCTGACTCTGAGGCCAGCCCTCCATTGAACAGGCTTCCTGCTTCTGATGCACCTATAACTTAATACAATGTATAGTGAAGTGGAATTGGCTCATAGGGTTCATCTCATGGGACATGCCCAGAGTTGCCTATCTGAGTTCTTATTGCCCCTGTGGGAGTCTTGTGACCTGATTCCAGCCATAGTTACTCAGGGCTAACAGGTTTAGGTTCTGAGAGGATGAAATGTCTCCTTACTAGCTGTGGAGCCAAAAAAGCTGATGACTCAGTCTATGCTTAAAAGGAGTCAATCCCACCCTCAACCCTCTCTTCCTTTTTGGCTGTAAGTTGTGCCAGATTTGTTTCCAGCTGTTTCCCAAGAGGGGAGGTGGTGGCTTTCTCTAAATCCTGCTAAGGACTTCCATGTGGCCACCATCACATGGCATCACAGCACATGTCCTGCCTCAGCAAGTCTGAGCCTGGGTTTGGGCTGCCCCTTTTGTGTTTCAGGCAAATTAGTACCTACCTCAAGCTAGATGTGTCTGGCTGCAGGTGAGCTTTGTGAAGTCAAGATGACCAGAGCTCCTAGGTCCCATTAGGCTACAGCTGAATGGTAGCAAAGGAAGAGCCCCTGGCAACTATTTCAGTGCTTTTGGAGAAGCTGGCCACCAGGATTAGCTCAAGTCTGGCTGTTTTACTGGCAGACATGCTCCAGGAATTGTTTGGACTCTGCAGAACCAAGGTGAAATTTAAAATGCCTGATTAGCAGTCCTGAAAGCTGCTTTGTTTTGATAGGGTTTGAGTGTCGGCCTCTAGATTGTTATAACAATAGTTATAAGTTGTTACTAAATCCTGTTTTATGTCTGTTAATGTTGTATGGTGGGAACAAAAGCCTGAGAGCGTGACCTCAAGTATCATGGTTAATGTAAATAGCAAAAAAGCAGCTCCATCCCATGGGAAAACTTGCATGAGACCCTGGGCCCTCCCTGGCACTCTGCCTTCTTTGTTCTGTTTCTATATAATATCTGACCTGACCTGGGGTTGGAGTGGACATCTATCACGGTCCTCCTGCTGGGCCTCATGGGTAAGGTCCCAGCTAATAAAACCTATTTACAACCAAGCAGTATCACAGTAACCTCTCATTACAGTGGGACTGTCCCTCAGGATATTCTGCCATCCTACTACAATTGGCCTAATCAGGGCAGAACAGATCTGCCATCTTACAACTGGTGCAGTCACCAGGATAATCTGCCCCCTTACAGATATACACAGCCTCTTATCCTTAGCATTTCTTTTATGTGTAGAAATAAATTACATGTTTTATACCTGATTCATACCGTACAATGTTGTACCTTTTACCCCTCTTTGTAGAAACCTTAGATGTGAGATAGAATTTAACTACTAAATAAATTTGTTCCCAGAGCCCAAGAGTACAGTAAGCCTAGCCTCTCTTCTCCTTAGGAGCCAGGCTCCCCGTGACTGAACCCAGACCACAGAACAAGGAGTAGGAGCAATGCTCTAGCTCCAGTGGACCTAGGACAGATTTCTCAAGGTCAGAGAAGTAATTGTGATTTCAAGAGGGAGAAGATGCTAATAACTAGGGAGATCAGGAAAGGCATCATGGAGGAGGTGTCACCTGGGCTATGCTTCGAAAGAAGCTGGCAATTTTCTGAGGCAGGAATTGAGGAACAGGGAGATATAAGGAAAGGAACAAAAAACAGACCCATATGATTAGAATAGAGAGTGCATGGAAGGAAGTAATATGAAATCAGACTGGAAAGGAGGGTGAGAGGCCTAATTGTGCAGAAGTTTTGGGTCCTGCAAAGCTCCTTGCTCTGAAGAACTGGGCAGTTAGTATTGGATCTGTGGGTGCTCAGCACTGGGAGAAAGTTCTGGGTCATTAGGTCACATGCGGGCTATTAGCTTCATGGTCACAGAATCTGTATACAGGAGTGCCCTCTGGTGCTTTGTTAAAAATCAACCCAGTTTGATTTCTGCATCTGAGACTTAACATGGTGATTGTAGCAGAGTCTGTCCATTTTTAAAATTCAATTTAATAAATATTAAGAACCTATTATATGCCTGGTAGTGTGGTATACCAGGGAGATACACAAAGGAGAAAAAGACAGCCCTGCCCTCAAGGAGTTTACAATCTAAGGGGGTGGGGCAGGGAGATAACATGCGAACAAATATATGCAAAGCAAGCTAGGCACAGGATAAATAGGAAATAATTAACAGAGAGAGGGCACTGGAATTAAGAGGGGCTGGGGAAGGCTTGCTAATAGGACTTGGATTTTAGTTGGGACTTAAAGGAAGCCAGGGAGGTCAGTGGTCAGAGTGGAGGAAGGAGAGCATTCCAGGTGTGGGGGACAACCAGAGAGTTGATGAATGAAGTATCTTATTCATGGAATAGCCAGGAAGCCTCACTGGATCTAAGAGTATGCATGGGGAGTAAGGTGTAAGACCAGAAAGGTAGGAAAGGGCTGGGTTGTGAAGGGCCTTGAGTGCGTTTTGAGCAAATGCAAATGCAAAGAGCATTTTGTATTTGTTCCCTGAGGCACTAGGAATCATTGAGTGGGGGGGGGGAATGGGGGGCTGACATGACATTATGGAAAATCACTTTAGTGACTAATTGGAGGATGGATTAAAGTAGGGAGAGACTTTAGGCAGGCAGACTCCCCAGCAGGCTATTGCAGTAGTCCAGATGTGAGGCGATGAGGTTCTGCACTAAGGCCGTGGCAGTGTCAGAGGAGAGAAAGGAGTATATTTGGGAGATGTTGCAAAGGTGAAATCAATAGGCCTTGGCAACAGCCTGGAAATGCAGGAGGGAGGGAGGGTGAGAGATAGTGAGGAATCCAGGCTAAATCCCAGGTTGTGAGCCTGAGGGACTGAGAAGATGGTATTGCCCTCTACGGAACAGGGAAGGTAGGAGGTGGGAGGAGGTGGGAGGAGGAAGTAGAGGCAAAGATAATGAATTCTGTTTTGGACATAGTAAGTTTTTTTCCTACTTAATAGTATTTTTTTCCCAATTACATGTAAAGATAATTTTCAACATTCACTTTTGTAATATTTTGAGTTCTAAATTTTTCTTCCTCCCTAAGACAACAAGCAATCTGATATAGGTTATACATGTACCTTCATATTAATCAGATTTCCACATTAGTCATGCTCTGAAAGAAGAATCAGAACAAAAGGGAAAAACTATGAGGAAGAAAAACAAAAACAAAAAGAAAGTGAAAATAGTATGCTTCAATCTGTATCCAGACTCCACAGTTCTTTCTGTGGATATGGATAGCATTTTCCATCATGAGACTTTTGGAATTGTCTTGGATCATTGTATTGCTAAGAAGAGCTAAGTCTATCTTAGGCCATTTCATCATATTAGACAGGGAGGAAAGAGGAGAAAATCATAGAAGGCCTCTGAGTGATGGGAGATGAGAAAGAGGAAAAAGGAGTTTACTGCAGATGGCCTCAATTTTTTTTTCTGTAAAACATGAGGCAAAGTTCTCAGATGAGAGAATAGGGGGGAAGGAAGCTATGGGAGGTTGGTGAAAAGATCTGGAAGAGCTGTTGTGGAGAGTGAGATAGTGAGTTGATAAGGGAGGTATGGTACTATTGCCTAGCAGCAGTGAGGGCCAAGTTGAGGATAAGAGTGTCAGACTCTGAGTCAGGAAGATTTGAATCTGAATTCTGCTTTTAGGCACCTGCTAGCTTTGTGACCTTGGACAAGTCACTTAACCTCTCAACTCAATCTGACCTTCTATAAAATGGGGGTGATAATAGCACTTAAAGTTGTAATGAGGACCAAAAAATATAACTTACATAAAGTGCTTTGCAAACCTTAAAGTACTATGCTAGTTAATATTATTATTATTATTATTAGTTATTGTTGTTGTTGTAGTAATAATAACAATGA